TGAACTAAATGAGATGATCTGACTGGCAGGAGACGACGTGACTGCAGCTCCGAAATTCTTCAACCATATTAAAGTTCAGTCACTGTAAATTGAGACTTTCTTCTGCGCTCCCTCTCGGCCCACACTTGTGCAGTTCAGGCACCAGGTTCTTGTTAGTGGCCATGTATTCAAATCAACACAGCCACAGCTGTGTTGATTTACATCGTCCGTATTGGTAAATACGCTGTACATTATAAAGATTGCATCGCAGCAATATTTTGTGCACCTGACAGTGATTTGCATCAGGGTTAGTAAATATCTCCCTTATATGTCCAATGCTTGTCAGTCTAGTTATTTTGTTTAAGATACATAACACACTAAGTCTGCTGTTTGTGTTTTGTGGATGCTGCAAGAGTCCAACCTTGCAGCTGTAAAAGTCATTGGCTAGATCATCTGCTGAAGTGATGATAGGAGTTTTAGTAGTATATTTCATTTTTTTTAAGCCCCGCACACACACAAACATATAAATCACCTGTTCTCCCTGCCAGACTCGTATAACGTCCTTTACAGCAGTGTTACACCACAAGATATACGCCACAGTTCCCACTACTCTGCTCCCCAGAGGCAGTTCAAGTATAGTAAACCAAAGACACTTGTACACAGGGGACTAAGGAAAGACTGAGTAGGGAGGGCATTCGGTTTTCATTGTTTTAAGAATGAGAGCCCTGCTGTGTGTAGTTCCTCCTGATAAATTATTCATGGCATGCAGTAAGATCAAAGCAATATCAGCTGTTGCGTTGTTATAATTCCAAGGAGGGAACATCTGAATTTCCCCCTTCGCTGTTCTTCTCATTAGGACTCCTCAAATGTAAACAAGTGATTCTCAAGGTTTATGAGGTTTATTTTTTGCTAAAATAATCTTCCCATAGCTTTGTAAAAGGAAAATAATGTTTGAATCAGAATTTAGAAATATCAGAAATCTTGTTTTCAGCATACCTTCTACCTTAATAATTGGAGCAAGTTCTGGACTTAATACAGTTACTGCTAAATTGCTTCTTTCCCAATGATAATTTGTATGTCGTGTATTTATTTGAGCCTTGTCAATAATCCAAAGCAAAGAAATGGCTGTAAAGTGATCCCTAAGTTGACCCACAGTGAAGCTGCACAAGTATTCTGCCCAGTTCTCTCCGTGTGAAGAATTATGCTCTTATCCTGTTAAATCGGTAACGAGCAGTGTTGTTGATTTGTGCAGAAGAAACGAGAAGTGAAAAGTTGACAAGCCCAATCCAAAACACAAAACAGTCACCCTGGAGCACCTTTAAAAATGCATTGGGTCAGTGAAATGTAAATAGAAAGTGCATGTGTGACACAAAAGGTGTTGGCTCGTACAAGGTGTTGGCTCGTACAGTATAAATGTCTGAGGTATCAACTCGATAAGCAGTGGTGTAATTATGTTCTGTGCTGACAGATGACTCTGCCCTTTCCCTCTGCTTTTGTTGTCACTAAGAAGTCTTTGCACATGGTTTTGTTTACCTACATTTTGTCAGGTCTCTGGGCGTATGTCCTGTACATGTGTTTGTGTGTTATATGATACTTGGAAGAACATGTTGTACTCTGACCCCACTGACTCACATCCTGTTGGATGGGATGAGTTGACATGATTATGTGGCGATGCTTTCCTTTCATGTCTCGCCTCATGTTTGGTCTTCTTTACCTCTGACGTCCAAGCTAGAGGCTCGTCTCACATGTCAGCACAATAGCAACAGACACAGCACCTGGAAAACATTGTCTTGCAGTAGTCCTGTATGTATCTTTAAAAACACTTTGAATGGTTGTTCCAGTTCTTTTGAACTGATGTCTGTAAGACAGAGAAGGTTTCACTTCAAACATGGTATCGACTTTCAGTTTTGCTCGAAATTTACACAGGTTTTCGTGTTCGGTAGAGGAGTTAGGATCAAAATAGTATGTCTCCTGTTTTTTATGATCATATTTGTGTCCTCATTTTCTTTTTTCTCTGTCACTTTCTTTTGTTTTATATTTCTGAAGCCCTACCAGTCTCAGCTAGGAGCCAAACAAACACCAGTAGAGTCATAAAACTAAGTGTAATAAAGTCCAACAGAATCCACAAAGCTAAGAATATCATAGAATCTAAGAGCATTCTGCTGATTACATCTTAGCATAATACTGACTGGGTATCACATTATGGACTCAGCAGTCGATTCTGGCTTGATCATATTCCTCTGACTGTCAACAACTTCTATGAAGAGACCAAAACAACAATGAAATGATCCACTAACGAGATCTGCCTGTGTGTCCAAAGCTTCATATAATTCCGTCTGTGCTGTCTCCACTGTGGCACTGGGTGACATATAACCAGTGTAGGTCAGTTTATTTTTCCTGCTATCTTCAATATGCATCTGAGCAGCAAATGTCTGTTAACAAACTGTTGAAATAGTCCCTGTTTAGCTGCAATGATTAGTTCACAGAAATGTATCTGCAACTATTTTGATTAATAGAATAAAATTGATTTAATAAGAAAAACATGCAGATGCTGGTTCCAGCATCTTAAATCTAGGATTTTGAGATATTAAAATGTGAATGTAGAATATAAAGATTTCTTTAGCAAATATGGATAAATAAAACAAGACCTCAGAAAAGTAGATGAGGTCATTTGAAGAGCTTTTATATTTTGCCTTTGTTTTCACGCCTTCCAAACAGGTTAATCTGCTAAACAATAAACTAATAGTGACATTAATCCATTCTGAGAATATTTGTTGCTGCCTTATTGTACGGTTGTTGTAGGAAGTTATTTAGCCTTTTTAATGAAATGTTGTAGTTGTGTTGTGCTTTTAAAGCTGTCTGTCTTCATTAAGAGGTTGAGTTTCTCAGACAGAGGCGGTGCTGAATGAACATCATCACCAGCCCTATCATCCACTAATGCAGTAACACCACCCACTAATGCAATAAGACACTGTAGTTGCTCTTATCGTTACGTAACAGAAACAACAGCCCAGTGTCTCCAGTATGAAACCCATTCCACCTCTTCTTTTGTGTGTGTGTGTGTGTGTGTCCATCTTGTGTGTCTGTCTCTCTCTCTCCCCGCCAGTCGACTGGCCGGGCCTGTTGGTCCGGGATCAGATATCAGCTTGACACTGGGCCAAACAGGGTTCAGTTTTCTACCCTTCTGTCCCCACAGACAACTTAAGATATTTGTGATTACACGTTTGCATCCATTGATCCTGCACCAGCTGTTTAAATTGGCTTTTTGCAGACAGACATTGATCAGATTTGTGCTTTTATTAGATAAATGGATGCAGTATCAGCAGGGAAAATGCTGTTGATCACTGACTGATCTGAAAATGCAAGGGCCCAGTGGCAGCTGGGGCATGTGCACATACACAAGTAAGCCACAAAGCATTGTGCAGAGCATTTGTACATGCGCAGGGCAATGTCCTGTGTGTTCACTGAGAGATTTGCAAACTCCACTACGAGAAAGCCATGTAAGAAAGTTAAATTAAGAGGTAGAAGAGGGGAAAGATACAGTAAGTGGATGGAAGTAGTTGTGAAAAATTGAGGTAAAGTGTGGCTGAACAGAAAGGGAAGAGGGTGAGGAGAAAAATGAGGAAGGCTAACAAAAGAATGCTACAGTGAGGAAGGATGAACTGGAAATAAAAGTGGAGAAGGGTGATGACACATTTTAGACAAGTCGATGTTTTATAGTTGATCACTGTACATTTACTCCTTCCCACACTGATTTGGCTTTTTCCTGATAGTCACAGTAAAATCACGCCAATAGAAACTTGTTTAAATTTTATTCAAATGTTTTAGCTTATTAATCACAATTGTTATAAAAAATATGTATTTGGTTGGTTTTGTTCTTTTCACTGTATTAACACATGTGAAATGTCATTTCAGTGAAGATTACTGAATTAATTAGTGTCAGTGGTGGTGATGATAATGGGAGGATAATGATGAGGATGATGATGATGACAGCTGCTTGATGCTGATAACAGCTGAGTGGTATGATAATGAAGCTTTGAAGATTAAACGCAGAGCTGAAAGTTGTGATCGCTTCACCTTTTTCACACGAAGGTCATGGCTTCACCAGGCGAGTGAGTGAATAATATGTGTGCGTGTGCCAAACATACACTCGCCTGTTATGGAGAGATGGTGTGTGAACATGTGTGATCTGTACAGTGTGCCAGTTTTTCTCTTATTACTCTGGCGTGGTCGTGTTTCCCTGCCTGATGGATGGAGTGTGTTAGTGTATTTCTGCTTTATTTTCAGCATTTTCGTCTGCATGTGTCTGTCGGCTCTTAGATTATTAAGATGTTTTACACTGGCCTTTTATGTGTGTATGACTTCTTATTAGTTCCTAGTGGGTCAAGCAGAGTTCCTGACCCCATTTCCTGCTGTTGTTGACAGAGGCTCAGGCCCAAGGCTTCTGAGACCAGACACCGCCTGGAGGGGTTCGCTCTCTCTCACTGCTGCTTACAGCCACTCGATCTGCCATTGTTTTGATAGATGTTATTTTCTTCCTTTTTGGCATCCATCAAAGTCTGGTTCAGTTTATCTGGACCAAGGGGTCAGGACCTGAGTGTAAGGAAGAGCCCTAGACATGAGCAGGGCTTCCTGATAGTTCCTTTTGTCATGAGAGAAGCAGGATTCTGTGTGATCAGCTCTTTATGAGTAAGTGTCTAAATTGCAACTGTAAACACTGAAAATAATGTAAATAGTGTTAAATGATCATTTAAAGTCCCCATGGCTGCTCATGTTGCTCATTTCCAGCCATTTAATGTTTAATCTCGGATATCTCTAGATTAGCTCACCACTCATAACTCCAGATAGTCTGTAATTATTTCAGAATGATAAAACCAGAGAGCCTCTTCCTAAAAACGAGAGGATAGTTCATGAACACTCACAGCTTCTGATGCTGGTGTTGTGTCGCAGGTGGACAGCACAACGAACCGCGACGGCATTAGTCAATTTGAATTTCTCCAGCATTTTTGTCTGTGTTCCAGGTTGCTGCCGGAGTCGACAGGTGGTATGTCCAGCACGAGGCAGGAGACGGAGGGTGACACCCAGCCTCCTCCCACCCAGCTCTACAGCTGTTACGACCTGGATGATCTGGATGTTGCCTGGCTGGAACTGGTCAACCAAGAGTTCAGACAGATGGGTGAGTGCAAACGGACCAGCCGCATAATTTGATAATACCCATTAAACATTTAGGCATTGAAGCATTAAGATGTCGGTAGCTGATCATGACCGCCACCTGCGTCATGTTGAACGTGGTTACAGTTGCTTGTGTTTTGACTTGGCCACTTCTACATGTTGTCTTCTGTAAAATAACTTCCACAGAAATTCTGTGCTGCAGCTATACATCCTCTTCTCTTTTTCTCTTTTTTGCTCCGTCTCCTCTGTTCCTCTTCTTCTATGATTTGCTGTCACTGTCTCTCTCCTCTGTTTTGCCGTAGTGAGGACTGCTGACCTCGAGCATCTTCTCCTGTCTCCCCCACTTTATTCGATATCTGATCGGCTCCTCTCAGATAAAGCATAGTAATTGTGTTTATAAATCCCCGCTGGGTTTTCAGGCCTTTTTTCTGGGACACATTCTCCTTAAATCAAATGCACGCATACACAACCACCCACCCACACACACAGACACACACTGGCTCTTTCTGGAGGAGATGTAGGTTGTTTCTCATAACCTTCAGTGTGTCACCAAACAAACATACACTCGATTGGTTCTCATGGGTGAGGCTGTATGGCTGGACTCAATGATAGGATGATTCAGCATTTTCTGTCTCAGTACGCTGACTACTCCCTACATGCTTGTGTGTGTGTGTGTGTGTGTTCTGAATGTGTACTTATGAGTGTGAGAGACCAAGGTTCTAACTTTGAATATTTAAACACTTTTATGGTTGAGTGTAGATGTGGGGTTACTTTGAAAGCTAGGCCATTGCAGCAGCACAAAACCTCTGTAAACATATAATGATGGGCTGCTTCACTTTGTTTTTTAGTTCTGATCCATTTCCAATACACATCTGCCGATTTCGATACAGATTTCAATACAAGAGCTCTTTTGTTGCAATAAAACAGTCAATGCTAATAAACAAAATATTAAATATGAGTAATGATGGATAAGTGCAACCACTAGATGCCCAGAGGCCAAGGAGACACACACTTCTCCAAATTATTGCACATTTACAAATCTCCACTTTTGGGCTAGAAATAAACATGTGGCTTTGGTTTAGTAAGATTTCACATTTACCATTTAAAATGTCGCCAACTTTAGGGCATTAGTTTATTATTGTTAATAAAAAATGAATGTTGTGTAAAAGCGGTACAATATATTAAAACTTAAAAATTAAAAGAAAAATGTGCACGTGTGTGGATGTTGGATGCTGTGTTGCTTCGAGACAAACAGATAAGTGCAGTCATGAGCACATACATACTGTGCTAAATGTGTATCCACATGTGGGTACAGCCGTCACATCTACCAACAAAAATGTACACAGAAGATGAATGTACAGTAAATACAGCGAAAGTACACACAAGCAGTAGCCAACTTAGTACAGACCTTAGACACACACGCACAATCTGTGTAAATAGTGTTGTTGCTTCCCTCCTCCAGTGTGTGTTCAGTTCAGGATGTAAATGTCACAGCAAGTTAATATCTAACTCTGCTTCCTTTTTCTCTGCTACTTTAAACAACAGTTTCTGTCCTGGACTAGTTTGTAGTCTCTGAGTGCTGTCTATTTTATTTCTTTGCTCATTCCTACCAATGCTTATGGCCAAATTCAAGACTGTGTGATTAAAAGAGTGACCTGTTTTCAACATTAGCAGCAGGTGTTGATGTGCTGTTTTTCTCAAATAATGCAGGTACCAAGCTGTCTGGGTTCAATTCGTCTTTATGTTAATCTGCATCTGCAGCCTGTTCATTAACACCGTTGGCAATAAAATGCCTGAGAATCAGTAAATACACTAAATTTTTGAGTGGGATTAAGTGGCATAAATAATACATAGTTAACAAAACTCCAAGCCGAGAGCTGGCTCTTTCAGATAAATCAATAAATAACCTTCAACTACAGAATCCAGGACAGCAGAAGTTTTTTTTATTGCTGCAAGGAGGATTTTTATAGCCTGAATTCAGAACTTGTGGCATATTATAGTCTTTTCTTTCATGAAAAGATACTTTTTCATACTAGATTTAATGCCTTACTGTTGCCTATTTTGTATAATCACTGTAATCTCATTGGATGTAATGAGCTAATAATATGCCACATCTGTTTGCCACCATCCTGCAACCCAGACTGCAGATTTTTCTAGCACCTCAGGTCCTTTATTTTTCATGAGTATGAAAGCTTGCATTTGCCAGTGAAATCATTTTTCATCAACTTTTAACCAGCCTTGGAGCAAGGCATCACTTTGAGATGCAAATGGAGTAGGAACACTAATGCTAATGCGGACACATATTGGCATGGTGATCTGAGCTGCAGGCAAGAAGGGCTTAACTGCACATTTTAATGTTTTTGGCTTTGATAGCAAATAGGCTTGTCGTGATGGAGAACGTGTTCTGTAGTGTAGAATTTCTTTGATTAGCAAAAAGTCACCTAGAAATCCACATACTGTGCTCCCACATCCTTCAGCTACTGTTCATCCCAATCTGGTCCAGCAGAGAGTGACCATATGAGGTGTGCATGCAAAGTAAAGTGGTGTGCGTTTCCAATTCAAGTGTGAGACGAAGCGTTTCAGCCAAAAATAGCTTGAATTTGGCAAATTGGCCCCCTCGTTTATGGGTTTCCTGTGAGCAGCTAACTTACTGTTATCCTTGTCAATAATAAGAACTCAATGAAACCTCGGAGTGTTGACCCTGTAACTGCACTTTTAATTGCTTTGTACAGTCTCGGTACATTCTCAGATATTCCTCCTTTGCCCTAGCGGCAATGTCTCAACCTCTGCTTTCAACACTTTAGAAATGTTTTCAACCATGGGAGTGGATCTGCATTAAGGCATTTCTACTTTCAAATAAACTGTGTGGCCAGGGTCGAACTGGGACTAAAAAACCAGACCAGTCCACCACATCCAGCCCACGGATACTCCACCAAGCCGCCCAAAGTGCAAATGTCTACTGTATATGTTTCTACTTCGGTTATGGTACAGGTATTCTTGGGTTAGTCTATCAACAATAAATAATATTTAAATAAACACCAGGTATTCTAGGCCTTTGTTCTAGAACCAGGGTATTGTGTCTGTGATCAGTAAAAAGAAAAAAAGGTATGGTGACGTATCTTCACTCCAGTGTGGAAGAAGGAGTTGGGGATGGAGTGGCGCCGATGAGGGTCAGAAGAATAAACAATTAATTATGGGTGGGCAGGCATTTTGCGTTCGCACACACACACAGTAAAGTGGTCGACAGCATGCTATAGAGATCACAGTGAACACGTTGAGTTTGAGAAAATGAGCAAAAACAACTTTGTGTTTTCTCGCCACCAGCCATACCGGAGCTGGATGAGCTGACGATGGAGTGTGTTCTAGTCCAGCTGGAGAGTGTGTGCAAGGAGAAGATGCAGCAGGCCATTGAGACGGAGGAAGGTCTGGGCATCGAGTATGATGAGGATGTTGTGTGCGATGTCTGCCGCTCGCCAGAGGGAGAGGACGGCAACGAGATGGTCTTCTGCGACAAGTGCAACGTGTGTGTTCATCAGGTCAGGAGACAGTATTCATGCGTTCATCTCACTGTTCAAGCTTTGGTCATACTTATGACTTTTCACCATGTTTTTTCTACAGAACAAAAAAGAATCGGAGGGAAAAAAAAACTGTGAAATGCAGAAAATATAAATGTAACTGAGAGACAAACAGCCAATGCAAATAGTTTTCCACAAAGCTGCCTTACATTTACTATGGTACTCACATTTCTCTCCCTGCAACCACATTTGTCAGCAGCGTGAACAGAGCACAAACAGTAGCACTTTAACAAATGGTGTCTGTGACAGCCTGAGGCTTGAGGAGCTCTGCTGTGTTTGTTACACAGTGGCACAGTGTTAATTATTTTGTCAGCCCCTTTGGCACTAACACACCTTCAGCATCATCAGACACTGGACGGAAATAGTTGCTTCCAACTGCAGACCAAATCACAGACCTCTAACATTTCTCTCGTGGAAAAAATACTCCACTCAGTGACCGTGACACAAAATACCGTCTAATGTCTTGCTTAAGTCGCCAGTCAGTATGTCTGTTGATGGAGCTTCATTGCTTCTATATGACATTAAAGAGGTGTTATTTAGATAAAGATTGAATTGATTGGTCTTGGAGCTTTTCAGTCTAAGAGTAGTGTGTTAATAGTAACATATTTTTCTATGTCTGGTAGAGATGAAGCACCTTGTATGTATTTAGACAATTTTTAAAGAAGAAATTTAAACATGCATTCATTTTCTACCGCTTAGTCCCTGAACGGGACCGAAATTTAAACAAAAAATTATTAAAACTTTTAAATGATATACAGCCAGTTCGGCATGTTGAATCAGTGGCGAACCTCGTTGGTGAGAGAAACCACTCTGATTGGCTGTTGAGCTTAGCGAATCAGTGTACGAGAAGAGAACAGCTCGGGGAAGTCCCTTCAGCCTGTTGCTGTAGTCTCCTTGATTTCACCCATTTATTGCGGTTTCTCCTTGTTTATTGTCTCTACGACCTCCTTTCTTTTTCTACAACCAAAAGATCAAGGGCAGAGAGCGGCAGTGCCATTTGCAACTTCTTATCAGACATTCTCTTGATTAGAAGCAGTTATAAATAGCAGCTGTGTTGAACAAGAGCTGGTTTGTTCATCACTTCATCACTGAGGGTTCTTTCAGGTCTGCTTGGTGTGTCTCTGCCCTAAAGTGCAATAATGAAAATGTTAAATTACATTTGCTAATTTGTAAAAAACCTGAATAGGTGGAGTTTGTTACTTCAGACAGAGGCAGACTTTCCCAGAATGCTGCTTTAAAGACAAATCTACCTAGTTCTAAAAAGTCTCTGTCTTCATCTAACTTTTCCTCATCTCTCTCGGTTTCAGGCGTGTTATGGCATCCTGAAGGTACCCCAGGGGAACTGGCTGTGTCGAACGTGTGCTCTGGGCGTCCAGCCCAAATGTCTGCTTTGTCCCAAGAGAGGGGGGGCCCTCAAGCCCACCCGCAGTGGAACCAAGTGGGTCCACGTCAGCTGTGCCTTATGGATCCCTGAGGTGAGGCAGTGGGTCGGAACTGTCAAATACTGTCAGATATTGCTTGGTGTAAATTATTTTTGCAAACCTCCAACACATTTTCTAAGTTTGTGATATGTGGCAGGATGTAATGATAAACTGTTCCATCATGTGCGGTCTCATTTAGCCTTTGTGGCGCTTTTGATGTTTCCCATAACTCATGTCGGAGTTGCAGCTACCAGAAACAATGGCTGTTACATTTGAGTGCATGTAGCTGTAGTCACTGTTAAAATTAGTGCAAAAATCCATCTGTTTTATATGTGCTCACTGGTCAGTGGAGCAAACAGACAGACGTGAGGTGGCCAAACCGTTTGGTCCATGTGTGTATGTAAACAAGTTGCTCTTGGATGAGGTGTCTACACCATGAATAAAACTGGAAAATAAAGCCACCTGAAAGATCGTGAAGTGTTTTGACACATCTGGATGAAGACCCACATACCACAAATTCTGACTTCTGCATTTGTGTTGCAACTGAAGTTCCCCTCAAACAAAACTGCATCCATTTCTGGAAACTTTTAGCCTCAGCACACACTCTTGTTTTTGTGCCCTTTCCAAGACAGAAACATGCTGTAACCCACCACTCTTGTTCCCCAAAAGACTTCACACTAAACTTTTTCTTAAAAAAAGGCTAAAGGGAGAAAGAAGTTGTATACTGAATGAAATGTATGTATGTAATGTAGTTTATGGGAAATGTGGCCTTGACTTTCAGAATCACTTGCACCTGTTAGTTTTTTTTTTTCCAACAGTTTTCTTGTTTATAGTAAATGCCTTAAATACTTCATGCATCTTCTTTAATCGAGAACTCGCTCTTAAGAGTCTGCAGATAAAGTAAACTGATTCACGAGGAACCTGTCTGTCAAGCAGCTGCTCATTTTCATGTGATGTCTTGATGATGTCTATTTCAGAGTCTCCTCTGAAAGCTCTAAATGATGGTCATAAAGCAGCCGTTCATTTCAGAGGTGCATGGATGGATGTGGCTTCGTGTTTTGCACACCTTTAAACCATTAAAGACAGTCAGTTGTGTGTCTTCAGCCTCTTCAGCAGCACACTCCTCCAGCAGATTTCTCAGTAATGGAGTGGCTTCTGGCACCTCCAGCTTTTTACTTCTAATTGCCTTCTGTCACCCTTGATTGGCCTAATTGTTTTTGTTGCTGTGTTCTCTTTTGTTTTCTCTTCCTACCATGGAGGGGGAAAAAGATCATTTGCATATCTGTGCTGTGTGTGTGCATTTGTGTATTTGTGTGTGTGTCCTTGTATAGACTCAGTGTGTGTTCTTGTATGAGTGAAAAGGTGTTAATAGCAGACATATACACAAATAAACACAATGCACACATAGCCACAGTAGATGTTTACGAAATGTGATGGTAGCGGAAATTTCCAGAAAAGAGGCTCTGTGTGTGTGTGTGTGTGTGTGTGTGTGTGTGTGTGTGTCTGTGTCATTCATAGAGACAGCTAGATTGTGTGCACGTGTGTGTGTGTGAGAACATACCACCCTGCCTTCAGATGATGCAGCCCCCCTGCAGTGCTGTGTGTGTAGCTGCCTTCTGCCCTCTGCCTTCAACCCTGAGAGAAAGGGCCTCTCTCTAAATGGCTTTTCGTCTCTCTCTCACACACAGACACACTCAGACATATAAGCCCTCTTTTAAAACCCTTTTCATTTTACACTGTTACTTCCTCCCATTTCCTCTGAAGTGATTTCATATTTCGTCAGTTTTTTTATCTACCGGAATTCAAATGAGAAATAACTTGAGCTAGAGAATATTGGAGAATGAGCATGTTTAAAAGGCCTGTTAATGCACACACACGCACAGAAAGCTTCATTTCTGATTTTTCACTATTTTGAGTATTGACAAACCAACAGAAGCAGAGAAGGTGAAGGAATTGTGTGTCTGCATGTGCAGCCATTTGTGCTATATGTGTGAATATTCATGGTTGAGAACAATCCATTCAATGAACCACAGCATTCAAAAACTGGAAATCATTTTGCCATTGATTGGCTCGTACATCAGCTGTATAAAAGAAGCGAGCGTTGACGGCGATGGCTGTGGCATCATTGTCTGAATTGCACTTTCTATTGACTCCCTCAATGGAGTGAAAATTGACCCCTCACTATGCGGTACAAAAGACATCAATAATAACAGAAAGGGCCAAGGCCGTGGGCTTGTTCTGTGGATGAGGAGACGAGAGGAGGAAAAGAAAACCAGATAAAACCACAAGTGGATGGGAGGGTGACCTGCGGAAATCTGTCGTCCGCTTGTTAACGCAGCATGAAGGGCAAAGAAAACAGGGCCATGCCGCAAATATGAGAATAAGTGAATGGGACAGAGGTGGAATGGATTTTTGAGAAGACACGGGCAGTGGAGGAAGGAAGGAAGAAGTGGCACTTTGCTATGAGGGCTTTCCACTCGATTGTGTGTGGCTAGTTGGCACAGGTCAATGACTTTTTGGTTGCATTTGGTGCAGTGAGGTTCAGGGCCAAAGCTGCTCTGAATAGGCTGCTCAGAGGGAGGGAGTCACACTGGGCTTTACAACAGTGCTGTTACAAGGAGCACATGCAGCGGTGGTCTGGGTCCAGGGACAAGCTTTTGGATTAGATCTACTAGTTTTAGTTTTATCTGTGTGGTTTACAAAATGGGAAAAATCACCATGGCAGGTTTCACAGAGCCCAAGGAGTTGTCTTCATATTTTCCAAAGATGTTCAATTTCAAACAACGTAAAACAGAGAAAAGTAGCTAATCCCCACTATGATTATTTATGACAGCCTACAGAATGATTTCTCCAAATACAATGGTGAAGGCAGAGTGTTTAAGTGTGCTTAGTTTCACCATTTTGTCCCAGAAGATGTCCTTTTGAAAGATGCACAAGAAGGAGTTAGTTGCTACACAGTGCTAATTATTTATCACATTTTGTGCTTTGTTTTTCCTTATGTGTTTCCCTTTAGGTGAGTATAGGCTGTCCAGAGAAGATGGAGCCCATTACCAAGGTTTCCCACATCCCCGCCAGCCGCTGGGCTCTGTCCTGCAGCCTGTGCCGAGAACACACAGGGACCTGCATACAGGTACGTCTCATACACACTTAGTCCTGCAACTGCCCTTTTACAAAATGTCTTAACTCAAAAGTTTCCAGGTTGCAAGCGAGAGCAGACGTCTTTACTGCTCCTCTTGTCAGTTCTACACTTTCAAGTCTTTGAACAAACTCTACAACTATTAAAATGCCTCAAAGAGGGAGAAGAGCTAATAAATCAGAAGCGAATGAG